GCATGTATTGCTACTGCCGCTGCTGCCGCTGCTGTTGATGCTGTTGTTGCCACGGCAATGCTTCATTACATCCCCTGATGGATTTTCTTGTGGTTACAGCCACTACAGCAACCGCCAGCAGTCAGTTGTTGATAGCTTTTCATAACATTTGCCACTGCTGCTGCTGCTACACCCCTTTTTCGCTCTATCTCTCTCGCTTTCTCTCTCTCCCCCTCCCTCTCATTCACTAAACCCTACGCTTTGTATACTCTTTCAAATACGTGGCTTCTCTTCTTTCTCCAAGTTTTCGTAATTTTAGTTTCTATTTTTATTTTTGTTTTAAATTTTTTTGTTGTTCTTATGCATCCGCGTTTTTGACTGCCACTGCCATACCGACTGTGTCTGTCCACCCAATGCACTGGGCTATTTCAGTTTCATTCTCGTCGTTGTTGGTCTATTTCGTTCGTTGCTCCTTCGCGCGGTTTGTCCGTTCGTCGTCGCGTGATTGTTTTGTGTTTCCAAAAAAGAAAAAAAAACCAGAAGTATTTCTAAAACCGCGAAATAAATTGCGTGCACTATTTACTCGCCTGTTTTTCCTTATTTAATCATCGTAAATTTGCCAAAGAGAAATTGCAAAAATTAACTACAAGGACCATAAGGATATGCGTTAAGGGAAAAATAGTTGCTGCTCTGAATACTAAATCAACGCGTATAAAATATCTTAATTTGAAAAAAAAATTAATATTTTAAGGTTTAATTAATGTGTTAAAAGTTTTGAAAGTTTTCAAATTCTAAAAAAATAAGAAAAATGTTTAAAAAATTAAATTCCAAAAGAGAGACGATCGGAAATGCTCCTCCAGCTGTTTAAAAAGTGCTGTGTAAAGCGCTCAAAACTATTTTATTCAGCTTCATTACTTCCTAAGCTGAACTAAGGAAATTCTCAGGTATAATAATAATCAATTTTTACTCTACCCACCAGAAATAATTTCTTTCTCTTGACCTTAGGAAGAACCCTGTCTCAATTTTAGAAGTATTCTAGGTTGAAAAGGGTGATTAATTTCAAGGTTATCCAACATTTCCTTTTTTTAACAAAAAATAAAAAATAAAATATTAAAAAAAAAATTAAAGAAACACAGTAAACTCAAATCTGATGGAGAATTTTTATTATCATTCGAAAGAAAACACTTTAGAAGTTATTTTTTAGAAATTACATCTTTCAAATGTTGCATGCAGCTACGTCTCAGATAGCTTATCTGTTGAGTCCGATTCTCGCTGACTCCTTCGAGCATTTCGGCTGGTAACTGGCGAATGACACGCATGAAATTTGCTGCAAGACCGGAATCGAGGTGGGATTTTCCGCACAAACTTAGGGCTTTACATATCCCCACAGGTAAACATCTAACGGTGTAATATCACATGATCTTAGTGGTCAATCGACTGGCTCAAAATGTGAAATAATCTGCTCACCGAAGTGTACTCTCAATAAATTCATTGATTGAAGGGATGGGTGTGGAAGTGATTCCGTCTTCGCCATCGTGAGCTTCAATTTCAGACATCAAATTGTCGGTTATAAAGGCGAGATAACGATAGCCGTTGATGGTTATGTTTCCTTCGGCATCATTTTTGAAGAAATATAGACCGGAAATAATCCACCGGTCCACAAACCATACCAAACCGTTGTTCTCCTGGATGAAATGGCAGCTCTTGAATCTCTTCAGATGGCTCTTAGTCGCGAATGCGAAACTTTTTTTTATTTACATTTCCATTGAGCCAGAAATGGGCCTCATCACTGAACAAAATTTGGCTCGTAAACGTTGTAAACTTTTCAAGAACCCATTGAGTGATAGGATGTCTCTTCTGAAAAGATAGATCTACTTGGATCACCCGTTAGAAGATAGTTCAGAAAAAAGTTAAGAGCTAAACTGTTAGCCTTCAGATCAGTGAAAAAAGCTCTCGAATTTTCATTGTAATCTGCTGAGCACTTTATGAAATTTTTGGACGCAAACTTTCTTTCAGCCTACCTGACCAGTATCTAACAGGCGAAGATATCTACTATTATGGAGACAGAAAATGGCCCATCACATAGTTTCCTGTCCACAGAAACATCGAGGAAGACTGTAAGGCCGATGAGTTTGTAATGCAAGGTTCTTCTCGCTAAAGAGCGCATTGGCATGCCCATTGCCACTCGCCAGCGGTATATCCTGGAGCTCGCTCAGCAATTTAGTTTTTCATTTTCCATAAATCATCACCATAATTTTTTCCGTCGCTTCAAACGTTGTACGAAAAAAGGCATCTCATTTAAAGAGTAGCTGAACTCATAATGACGATTTAGCTTTTGGTTAAAATATTTGGTTTAGTAAAAAGTAATAATTTATTTTGGTATCAAACCGAAAGCTTCTTTTACCATAGTATCAAATTTCTGTCAATTATGCATCCCATATGATACGCCATATACTGAAATGGATGGTAATAGGTTGGAGCGAGGCCTAGACTATAAGGTGGACTATAAGGTGGATGCACAATAGCCTTCCAACCAAGCTCTCAAGGCTTGTGACAGGACGCTATATATCTGTTTAGGCTGGCATTCCCATTACAGGTGAATTATGAATTTGGCTATAGAAGAGCTGCTCAACATGGATGATCCTTTGGCGAGTACACCAAACACAACAAAACCCTAATGGGGGTCAATCCTTCCTTGAAAACCATTTATGCGGGTTTACTGATTTTCGTCCTGCACCATTTTCATTTGGAATTGCTGCAAAGTAACCACTTTTCATCACCTATCATTCGCTTCAGAAATTGGTCGACTTTGTTACGATTTAGCAGCGGTTTGCAGATGGAAATTCGGTCCATAAAGTTTTTCTCATTAATTCATGCTGCAACCATATATGGGACTTCTTTCTTCTTTCAGTTTTTCAAGCGGTTCCAAACTGTGTTTTCTGCAATTTTCAGTGGCTGGACAATCGAAACAGTACTCGTTCGATGACCGAACTCGATGGTTTCCACATTTGTTTTATAGACTTTTCCCACAATCGGCCTTGCACATAGGGGATCCTCTTCTTAGGTCAAAATTTCCGGAAATCAACGAAACCTATGCAGTAGCAGTACCATAAATATTATTCACAATCCTGGCTACCTGACTTGAGGTTTCACTTTTTTTAGAAAAAAGAAAAATGAAAATTTTTTTTTTGGGTTTACTTTTGGCAGACGCTCAAACGTTAACACTCTTAACGCTCTTTTCACGTTTTTTAGTACAGAATATCGAATTTCTAACGCTATTTTGTGAAACTCAATACCGATTCCTGAATTCATCTATAGCAAAATGAAAAGATAACTTTGCACTAGACCAATAAAAAATTGAGAGCTTAAAATGCAAAGCCTGCCTTTGTCAATTATTTGAATTAGAAATTTCAATTCGAAATTTGTTGCCCTTAATTTAGATTTAAGTTTTCGAATAATTGTGGTGAGTGTCAAACTTTATATTGGGTTGCCCAAAAAGTAATTGTGGATTTTTTAAAAGAAAGTAAATGCATTCTTAATAAAACTTAAAATGAACTTTAATCAAATATATAATTGCCATTTTGTTCGATAACCTTTTGCCATCTTCCTGGCAAGTTTAGTATTCCACGCTCATAGAATGGCTGTATTCAATTTGTCTAATTGTTTATAGTAAACATCCAAATTAGTCGTTTGGTTTCTTGGAAGCAGCTCAAAATATACGACACCCTTTCAGTCCCACCAAACAGACTGCATAACCTTCTTTTGGTGGATATCAGCCTTTGAAGTGGTTTGAGCTGGTTCACCATGATTGGACCATGATCGTTTTCGACTAACGTTGTTGTAAACAATCCATTTTCGTTTTAAAAACGGATCGAATTCATTGCGTTTAAGGTGCGTTGATTCGGTGTGTTAAATGAATTTCTTTCAATACATGTGGTACCCAAATATCAAGCTTTTTCACCAGTCCAAGACTTTTTATGTGATAATGAACGGTTGATTTTGGTATATTTAACTTCTTTCCTATCTCACGCTTAGTAACATGACGATCCAATTCGATTAATGCTTTGATTTGGTCATCATCAACTTCATTTGGCCGACCTGAACGTGGCTCATCTTTAAGTGGAAAATCTCCAAAACGGAATTTGCGAAGCCAATTTTGACACTGTCTTCCTTTTAAGGCCTCATCACCATACACATCTCGTAACTTTTTAGCAACCTGCTCCGCGTTTTTTCCTTTACGGAAATAATAAAGTAAAATATGACGAAAATGCTCCTTTGTGGGCTCCATATTAAAATTGACGCCAAACAAACAAATAGAAACAAAATTTCGCGCACTTTTTTTCTAAAGCAAGCTAAAAGTAACAGCTGATACCTGACAGAAGAAAGAATGCAATTACAGAGTCACAAGCCGTTGAAAAAATTTTTCAACGCCGACTATATGAAAAATCCGCAATTACTTTTTGGGCAATCCATTATAAGAGAATATCAGTTTCTTATTTCAAAAAAATAAATTGTTGCTTTCCAATTGCTACTCAAACTGTTTATCATGGAGGTAGAAATTCTTAAATACTTTTCAAATTCACCAATACTCATTGAATTTAATATTTGCTATTATTATATGAAATTATTTAATTATATGTGATCAAAAAGTAAAAAAAAAATTAATAAAAATAAATGATAAGTGTTGAAAAGTAAAAAAATGTGCATACAATTAATTCCTTGGCATGTTGCTAATGCGACAAAGTTAATTAATAAAATATAAATTATTACATATTATTTAAATACAAAGCAAAAAAATTATAATAAAAAAATAAAAAATAGGAAGTAAATATTTTTGCTGAAAATTTTAAAATAATGTACTAAAAACGACACTACAAATTATAATAAACAATTTAATTTATTAGTTGACATATTAAATTTCTTTTCTGTGAAGTAAGCACCAAAAAAAAAAAAAAAAAATAACTGTAAAAGTGTAAAGTGTCGGACTAAAAAAAAGTTGAATAACATATTACAAACTCGCTTATAAAAACCCTACACATTGAACTAATTACAATATATGCTAATAATTTTTTTTATTCCAAAGTTGGTCTATAATTAATGATTTCCATGGAAAATAATATTATTACAGGGCACGACCTTTTTTGTAAACATATTTTTATTATACAGCTTTTTGTATGTTGAATTTCTTGTTTGTTTAAAATATTAAATTTCATGCGGCTCCTAGTTGAGTTCCTGAATGCCACATCATTAAGCTTGCCAAATTCAGGCAACCACCAAGTGAGCAATAATTTTCAAACACCTACAACGACAAATAATAATAATTTGTTGACTTTGTAGAGAGTCACTTTAAAGTAAATAATAACGAATATATATACATATGCATACATATAAATACCAAAATATGTTTATAAATTTAAATTGCAACTTTAAGTAATGTCGAATGCAACACCAAATGAATTTGCCTCACTGCTCTGAGATTTCCATACAAATCCATAAGCATGCGAGACGGCACAGAGGTTTTCCCCCGAATCTCCAAATGTCAAACATTAAATGCCAATTTCAGTAAAGTGCAAAACTTTCTGAACTCTACAGCTTTTAAGATTCAGTTTACTTGCTCTGCTCTGGAGTGCAAATAAATTTGAAATTGCAACAGCTCACCACAGTACGCAGCCCAGCCCAGCCCAGCCCAGCCCAGCCCAGTTTAGCTGTGTTACAGAGCTATGCAACAGACAAAAGCCAATGCCACATGGCGGGGAGACGTCAATTGAATTGCTTGAAAGTCACTACTTTTGAACTGAGCGAACGTAATGAATGCGCTACACAATGAAACAGGAAGCATATCAGGCATTGCTCAGCACTGGCAACAAGAAGCACTCATTCGCAGTCAAGCAGGCAGGCAAGCGGGCTAGCTGGATGAGCCGAACGGAAAGTTGGGTGGCAAGTGAGCAGGCTCGGTTTGTGTGTTTGGAGTGTGACAAAAGGCGAAACAGTGTTTCAATAGCTTAATTTTGAACACTAACGCGTAAGACTGCGAAAAGAACTATTTCATATGATAAATAAGACCAGGAGATATATATATAACATACTAAATTATACCTATATTCTGTCGAAGTTAAGCATATTTTTCTACACCGAACGCGTTATCTCTTTGGCTTAATTGTAGCGCTCAATATTCTTTGAGAAGCAACCTCTGAACTTTCCAAGTCCCACCAATGGAATGCCTTGTCACTCGCCTACTTCTAAGATACTAAAATTTTCTTAAAAAGCTCAATAGTATTAAGTTCATTTAAATGATATTATTTAGAATGAGTAAGTTACATTCTCAATATCAAAGAACGCACTAAAGTTTGATGAGTTATGAGTCGTTATGAAGAAGTCACCAAGCCACGAAACCGAATAAACCTCCGCAATGGTCGAAAATGTCAATTTCGAGGAAATAAAACCAATTAATTTCGTAAAGAGGTAACTCACCATATTGCAAAGCTAATATTGCCAACAAATTTCTGGTAAAAAATTCACCAACTACCACTTGATGGCTTCAATGTTCATCAGATATGGATCTATTCGAATTTTATTTCTGCAAATCCCAAGTTCAGAGTTCATAAATGAACTAGTATTTTACTGGTATGATGCTGATGTATAGTTGAACACTTTAAAATTTATATATATTTCTATAATATAAAGGTACTTACGTGTAGATAAGGTGTAATGTGAATAAGCCGGTAATATTCTGCTTCCCAATTGACTCTTTAGAAAAACGTTTTGAATCAATACAAACAAAACTGGCCAGAAAAGGTATTTTAGGAATGAACGATACTTTCGTGTAATTGTTAACGGGCTCTGGCAAGATCCAGAAGAAATATTGGTAGAGGAAATTTTTGAGTATTTTTTTACCTAATCCATCTACATGATGTGATGAAGGAGGCATCAGTTTTCATCATATTTGCGCAAAAAATATTTTATTCTCGCAAACTGCATATTTTACCCACTGTTCAACAGCTTGCTATAGGCATTGCAATCATATTTTTGGGGCTTTTATGTTGTTGCTGTTGCCAGCAGAGATGAGCTGACATCAATTGAAAATATTACTGTTGTATGGCCATAAACTTAGTCGGAGAGTCAGCCAGGCAAGTGAGGCGGTACCGACCGAGTACTTGTACGTTAGTGCGGTATACAGCGAGCGAGCAGTCCCAACCTTCTGCCTCTCGTAGCCAATGCCAGCAGTTGCCTTAACCAATTCGCAGTGTGGCTGCATGAATTGAAAGGAAGTACATTTTCGCTACAATTTAGCAAGGTTTTCGACTTCAATGCAGAATATCTATTTTTTTTTGGCTCATTTGACTTATTTCTGTAGAGCAAATAAAATAAAAATAAATTTCACTTAAATTCGAAAATTTACTTTTGGTTGCTGAAAGTCCATGCTGATTGGGTTTTCAGTAATTCAGTGCTGTGGAGTTCGGTTGACAAGCACGAAAACTTATTGAGGTACAGTAGATACCCCGTAGGTTGTATTGTGTAGAGAAGGAGCATAAAAATAGCGTTAGCGTATAGAGCTCTGCGGACTAAGAAAAAGAAGAAAGTTGTGCTTGAGATTGATTTTTAACAATTTGGGATGTTTTTCGAAACAGAACTTGAACCTGTTTTCATTTGGCGACGATTCGGAAGGTCAAGGTCCGACCGACATCAAAAATTAAAAAAAAAAAATATATAAGAAATTGATTTACAAAAAGAAAAAAATTTAGTTAATTAATTGCGATCGAGCCTCGACAAGGCAAGGCTCTCCGATTGTAAAGCTGCCATGAAAGACGGTTTATGTCAAATATGGCTCTCTTTTAAAAACCCTTGTTCCCATTGGCAAAAGATTGTAAGCAATTGATTTTGACAAGACTTCTGTTGAGGGCAAATAATTTACCTAGGACGGGAAATACTTGGTGCGAGCTCTCATCTATATAAGGTGGATGCATAATAACCTTCTGGTCAAGCTCTTGGTCTGACGTTGGCCTAATGAAATATATTTCCACACCTGTTGGATAAAGCTGGCTACTTCTGGACGCATGTTTTTACTACAAACGATTAAACTGCTGAAAGTGCAGATCAGAACTAATAGCTTGTCGTTAGGGAATCAGCCCCTAGTGTAGTAATCCTTGCAAATCATACCAAACATATAACAAGCCCTTACTGACCGTTAATCGTTTATACCGTCTTTTCCGACTCACTGCTCTTCGAATATGATCGTTTTCATTTGGCGTTGCTGTCAGTGATCCACCACTCCGTTTCAGAAATTAAAACTTTTTGGTACGATTTAGCGAATCCATCTGTCAAAGGAAGTTCGGTCTGTGAGTATTTCTTCTCAGAGGTTCTACAGTACAAAAGATGGCAAAAAATAAGCTTAAAAAGGCATTCAGTTACGAAGTAGAAAGAAATATGAAAAATGTTATAAAGTTTTTGTTTCTCAACGCATATACAAAAAAATCGCTTTGGATAGCAAACAAAAACCATAAGCCACCTTTAAGCACTCAAAGAACCTCTGAGACTACGTTACGGTTCATGGGCCAGAACGAATGAAGAAAAGGCTTCCTGTCTTGCAGAGCATCTCACCCATAATGCAGCTTCTTAGTGCCATATTAAAGCTAGGATATTATGCACAAATATGGAAAAAATTGCAGATAATTATTATAGCTAAAACAGGTAAAGGGGCAACCCTACCGTCATCATAGAGACCCATCAGCCTGTTACCTTACCTAAAGAAATTTTTCGAATAAGTGCTGCTATCACAAATTACCCGATTTCCTCATGAAAATGATATTATTTCTACACACCAAGTAAATCGTATAACAAAGGAAATAAGGAGAGCCTTCGAGTTCAGACAATATTGCTCTGCTGTTTTCCTCGATGTGGCCCAAGTATTTGACAAAGTGTGTCATGATGGTCTCATTCATAAATTAATATCCTTGAATCCTACTTATCTAACAAGCGATTCAAAGTAAATTGTTTCGTAACTGCGTAGTATCCAATCACGACACATGCTGCGCAGGCTAGTGCTCTTGGGCCAAGAGTGTATATTACCTTCACTGCAGACATTCCTATAAGGTGCTCGAGCAGCACCTTAAGCCTATTGAAAAATAGCTAGCGAAATAGCGCAAAAAAGCTAAGGGGTAAAGCCACCCTAGAAGTCGAAAAAATAGGCTCATTTGGAGGATTGTGGGAAAATAAAAAAATCTACATTTAACCATTTAATTAAACATATATTAAAGCATACACAAATATTCTTTACTTTGTTACAAAATGCCGGTGATAAATAATATAATTTTATTTAATCCATGTTTTTTTCAAAGGCGTCCATTTAATCGAAAAACGGATGGGTGCTTCAAAAAAATAAATAAATAAATAATTGTAGTTGTGAAGCTACCATCAATATTTCATATAAGTCGATGCAATAGGGTCTGAATAATCTGTTCTTAATGCTTGAAAATGTGATTTTGAGAAAAACGGGTTTAAAGTTTTCATTGTACTCGGCGCATGCTCTGAGGGGCTGCAACAAAATAGAAATTTCAGCTATTTGAAATATTTGTGTCCACTTTAAAACCAGTTGTATTCCCTTGGTATTCCCTTGGATAGACGATTAACTTGGAATCAAGACATTTCCGGCTGAAAGATGCAGCTGGAGTTTAAATTTTGCAGTTTGTAATGGCTTTTAAGCAAGAATGGGTTCAGCTTTGATAACAAAGCTCTTCTTTATAAAACGACTATAATCTGAAATGGACGTTTGGAACCCAGTTATGGGGTACAGCTTGCGCAAAAAAATTTATTTATATTACGATTACAAGCCGAACGAGCCTGAAGGGAAGGGACTACTATACTTGTAAAAAGAAACACTGAGCCAGCAGCTCATTCCTAGCCAACGAGATGGCATTTTAATGTAGTTTTCGAGAATATTCAGTAAACAAATATTAAACAAGAACACTTTGATTTAACTAAAAACCTTCTAATTAAAATTTTCTTTGTGCTCTCTCTCCAACAGATATCCTGCCATTAAATGAAGATTGAATTGCATCCCAATACAAAAATTTCAGAAAATAATTTTGTGTAGACAGAATTTCCAGCGAATGTATGTGTGCATGTAAATCTTGGAACCAGTAAGCATGCACTCGATTTGGCTTAACAAAGAAATAATCTCCCGATTACAATTATACTAAAAACGGTAAACCTAACCAATAGCGGCAATAAGAACAACAAAACTGAAATTGCCAGTAATAAGAAGTAAATCAAAAGGGCATCAACAAACGGGCTTTTACAACTATTTTTCCCCTTAATTGAGTACATGAAGCTCATACGAAAACAACACACACATAGCAGCAACAATAATTGTGTTCGGCCATTTGCTCTCTCTTTCTGTTTCACATTATTACCATACGTATAATACTCGCTCCTCTCTCGTCGTACTATACAACACATCTTATGCACCGAATGCAACTGATGAGTGCAAGAGAAAAAGTGCTAACTGCATATTATTGGATATGTGAAATATGTGTGTTTGTGTAAGTAGAGCGATTAAAAGTTGTTGCAACAACAAAAGCAACAAAGGCTGGAAAGAAGTGCTGAACAATTGCAACAACAACAACAACAACACGAGCAGCGAGACAAATGCAAGCGTGAAGAGGAAAGCATTGGTTAACTGTAAAGGTATAACGCTCAGAGATATAAAGGATCAACAACAAGTGCTACAACAACAGCAGCAACTATTTATGGTACTCACAACGGCGAAACATAAAACAAATTTATGTCGGTGAAGAAGTGTTGGCATTGGCAACTGCAACAGCAACAGCAACAGCAACAACATCGGTAAAACGAAAAAAGCGAGCAAAAGGAAAGTACGAAGTAGAAAAAGCAGCAACACGAACGCAAGCAACAGTTAAGCGAATAAATTCAAAACATACAATTTATTTACGGAGCAAAGCGTAGGAGAGCAATAAAGTAAAGGCAGCGTTAAAGTGTGTGCAATACAACGAGCAGAAGTAAGAATTAGAGTGAGAGAGAAATAGGGTTAGCGATAGTCCGCTAACACGCCAAAAAGAAGAGAGTGCTCAAGTTGGAAGCAAGTTGATCAGCAACACGGCGTACATACATTTAAATAAGCAACAACAACAATAGCAAAAGCAGCAGCACAGGAGCAGTAGCGGAAAAAACAATCAGCCGTTGTCATGAGGATCATCGCACCATTTCGGGCCCTGGTCTTGGCCCATTTGTTCTATTGCGTAGCACCAGCTGGTGGTAAGTACAAAATAACTAAAATTAAGAGATTTAAAATTCATGCAATTTGAGTAAACTTGGAATTTATTTGCATGCAATTTTCATAAAAATATGCAGAAAATATTAAATTATATTTTTATGAATTATTGAATTTGCTTAACTAAAATATTTAAAGAAATCTGAAGGCAGTTTGTGCCGCAGATGCTCAAAATCTTACATATATGGGTATTTAACTAAATATTAGGTGTAGTAAAAAGTTGCGATTCAGCAGCAGTTCGCAAATGGTAATTCGGTCCATGAGGAGTTTTTGCGTTAACTCGTATGGGACCCATACATCGTGATTACTTTCGCATCCAGCTTTGTTCAAATGGCTTTTTGGGCAATCCTTAGCTCTTGGGCAATCGAAACAGTCGGACGCCGAAAGGTTTATGATTTGACCGGCATTTTCCACTCCGTGAAACATTTTTTACATGAAAATTATTGGAATGAAACCGAAATTGTGCATGTTTGACTGTAACAGTATCAAGATAATACACGCTTTTCAACTTTTCAGCCGGCTGACTTAGGTTTTTTTGCCCTTATCGAAAAAAAACTGTGAAATATGGCGAATTTCCTCTTTGCTGGTGTGCATCTTTGACTCACGCTCAAACCCAACCGAATTCACAATCACAAAACTATCAGAAAAGATTGTATAGTACGAAATGTTGTCTTTCTAACGCTGTCTAGCGAAATCCGATCGGACTTTCACTACAAGAGATACAGATAAATAACTCTATCTATTAGAAAAATAATGGATTTCTTTTTACTACACCAATATTTATATTTTCCATTCTCTTTCCGAGTTGTATATTTACAATAGTAAAGAAATAGTAGAAAGGCTTACCTTTGCCTTATTTAAATTAAGTAATCCTTTATGAAAAAACGGAGAAATCCATTTCAGTTCAGTATTCCCAAAAATTGTATTGCATGTGCCACGGCGTATGATCAACTTTTTTTGGCTTACCTGAAAACATAATTTGAAGAATTTTCATTATTGTTCGGTATTTTTTGTTTCATAGTGAATAAGAAAAAGTTGAAAAAACAAATTTATAATTTTTAAGCGGCTTATGAAAAATGGGGGTCAGCCCAACTGATTCCCTATGACAAGGCCACAGTTCACCCTATGTAATTGTTTACTTATCAGCTCCGTTGGAGTTCCTTGGCGCAAATGTAAAAATCGAAAACTGTTAAAATCACATATTGAAATTTATTTACATATACATATAATAAGCAAAGGATGCTAAATTGGATCATTTATTATCCGACTGATACATTTAAGTTTACTCAAATGTTTAAAGGATTGAAAACTAAGGTAGAAGAAAACGACGGATATTTAAACGCAAAATGTAGTTAGTTCTTCTTAAAACTAAATTGCATATACATTCATTTTAGACTTGCAATATTTTAGATCGGCAACCGCTTTAACCAAATGGTTAGTAGTGCGTGTTGCCCAGTCAAGCCTCAAAATTAATTGATTCATTCTTTTCCTACAGCCGTTCGGAGGTGGCTTAAAAAAACCCAAAATCATTAGTTGATATTGTGGTAATTAGTCTAAATTTCTAACGCTTAGGTAAAATATTGATATCGAAGTATTAGAATTAGTAGCAGGAACGGAACAATTGTTGCTCGTAAGGACAGAATTGATAGTGTTCAATGCACCAAACTTTCAAAATCTTCCAATAATTTATTCAGCAATTACTTAAATTACAATATGGCCCAATCAATAACTCTTGCCTGTGGAATGGTGGCCCTGAGTTAGGTTTTTATGTAATATGGTCTGAATATTTCCTTTCACTCCAAGCGTTGGTGGTGACATCTGTCGGCAAATAAGTGTATAATTTAAAGCCATGAATTGATGGCACAGTTGTATTCGATGTGTGCCTATCCAGTGGTAAAGATCTCGGTTTCTCCACTAAAAATTTTAAATTTAGCGAATCACGCCATCTTCACTTAGGTAGCCCTTCGAATCTGTTTGTTTTGTCATTTTCCTCTTTGTGCGGTGATTTGCTTGGTCAGTGGGAAGTGTTGACCAATAATCATTGTGGGCATATTTGTATGTACATACATACATACATACGTATTTACATACAAACATACAAAGTGTTTTTTTAAAGAAACAAGAAAGTGAGTGTGTACTAAATTCCGTGTAAATTAATTCCAATTTCACGACATACACAGAGCACATTCTTCAAGATCCAGGTACCTACGATCAGTGGCTCAAGCTGTGAGTTGGGCTGTCAGTCATTCAGGACAAAGACTTTTAAATAGATAAAACTATAAGTTTTTAAATTTCATTTATGTTTGTAGGCTGGTCTTGAGCATATTGCCAATAAATAAACAACTAAAAATACTAAGATTATTAAAATATATTAAAATTATATTTAAGATTTAAATAATGTTCGCGTGACCTTATTTTCTTTGTAAAAGTTTATAAAATACCGAACTGAAAATATAACAAAATGCCGCCACGATTATCATGCATTTTGTTGTATTTAAAAAATTTTATTCGATTTTACTGAGCCTCATTGGAGTTGAAAGAAGCACAGTTAGGAGAAAAAAGTGCGGTTACCAGGTATGGATCTAAATATATGCCTCTCTCGGCGACGCTTGGCTATTAAAGTATATAAAAAATATTTTTTTTGGGATTATTAATTTTTTTAATTACATTTTTTTCTTTTTTATTTTAAAAATTGTACTATTTTTAGCACAACCAATTTATTATGTAAATAAATAATTTATGCACACAAATTTAAATGAAAAGAAAAAAGTCACTTATTATGGCAGCACAAAATAAATAAAAGCGGTCATAAATAAATTGAAAATAAATCGAAATGCGTATAAAACAAGTTTAGTGATATTTAAATGCAAAAAAGGTGCAAAGAAATATATATTACAAAACCAACGTCAGCACACATATTTGTTAGTACTTGTGCATTTTACAAAATCAATAGCAATAAAAAGGCTTATTTTAATATACACATAATAATTAGAGTACGCATTTAATTGAAAAATTTGAGAATATAAATACGCACTGTTGCTGCTACTGGCATTTTACTGCAATTAAAACGAGTGATTTGTCAAACAAAAGCAACAAAAATCAAAAAAAAACTGAACAAAACAGCAGACAACAATATAAATATATTGAATGCAATATAAATAGAATTAACTTTCCATTTATTTAATTTTCCAACCTCAACTCTTCTTTCGACTTCACCAACGGTGAAGGCAAAAAATTTAATACCAAAATCACCACAAATGCCACAACTGTCATAATACCATTCTAATAACATTTTAATCAATGCATTACGCAATCAATAGTTGCAATCTGCACTGCACTTGTATACTAATTAATGTGATTATTCGAGCGTAGTTATTAGTACGCACACTAGTAGCTGTTGTGTGCTGAGTGGTTGGGTAGACTCGAAAACTGGTGACCACAACAGTGGTGGTGGTGGTGTCGATGGTGATGGTTGGGTAAGTGAGAGACTGAGAGTGTGAATATAAATGTGTGTGCGCTCATGAGTTAATCAAAATTGGCAGGCTACAACAACTGTAGCAGCTCTCTACTTCTCTACAACTCTACAACTCTACATCTCTCGTGCTCTCTATCTCTGCTCTCTCTCTCTGCATTGTGCAACTATTAAATTTTACATTTTTTTTTATAAAAGTTACATAATTAAATTAAGCTCAACTCGAATAACCAACAAGCAACTTTTCTGACTGACTAAGTGAGCAACGCTTTACCGAGGTAATTAACAAACGGGCGACGGGGCGTTTTCCAGAAATTTATTGGAATTTAATGGGTGATGAAGTGCAACAGAAATTGGTCAAGTTGTAGCATAAAAAAAGATTAGACACAGTTGCAATCAGCCACTCCTTTACTCTCTCTTGTACTCTCTTTCTCTCCCTCCGTTTGAGTTTGTTATCTATGACAGCCAATCAGTGGGAAGGACATTTAACAAGAAGGAGTATAATAAATGTTGGTTAGCTAATTTTATTACATAAAAAATTGGATCTTCTTCCGTTCGGACAATCTTCTTATTTATTATATACTCGTATTCACCTCAGATGTTTATATAATACATACACATAAGGTGAGCTTAGTTTTAGTGAACTAGAGCTAGAGAGTAGATAGTGGATCTACACTCGTACTGTTGGCTTGAATACATTTGATTCATATCCATTAATCTTATGTATATATATATAATCCATATTTAATCGAACGCAGTCTCACCACAAAAAAAAGCTTGTCATACTTATACTCAACAACTTGACGAAGTTTGACTATCTTCCATGCGATGGAGAAAACCAATGGAAATTCGTACGAAGCCATGTAGATCTCCATATGATGTTTTTCCAACAAGTGGAGGGACCTACAGTTTATACTAAGCCGCCTACGAACGGCAAAAGATTTTTGTATGAGGAGCCTTTTTTTCACGTCAGAAGTACACTCGGAGGGACATTCCCTGCCAAATAAATAAATACGCAAATCCTTTATCCTGATAGCTGTTGATGACGTCTCATAGGCAGTTGTCTTTCATCAAAGCCTCGGCATGATATAGCAGGACGGAAATGTTGAGCAAATCTATTTCTAGTTTGACAAAAAAATACTTTCAGGAGATATTTCACTCGGGTTTTTAGGCTACTGATACCAATATCATCCATAAGTATGTATGTAAAATACTTTGCCATGTCTATTTAGCTTTGCGTGTTGCTGAGTATTTAACGGTTCACTTAGATATTTCTCGCTTCTGACTTAGTTGTTTTTGCACATCAGAATCGGATATAGTGACTAAAATATGATGAAATGTGGTGGCGATCTTTTTGTACTATGTCCAAAGGTGGATTTACCAGGTCTAGTGTGATTAGCACTGCATATTAATATACCGAAGTTCAGGGTTCAAGTTCTGGTGTGACTAAATATCCAAAATTAAATATCAAATAAAAATAAAATCAATGAAATTAATTGGCTTCAGCCATTCAGAAGTATCTTAGTACAAACTGTAGGTTCTTCTATTACTTGGAGCTCGGCAGAAAATCGCTCAGCAGTTACAGATATACTCATAGACTTTAGGCTTTCAGACAGTATGCTGAAGCGGATCTTATATGCAAGCTGTGGGAATACTCTTCTAATGGACTGATAATCTCCGGATAACTTTCTATCCTACTAAAAAGGCCAGAGAAATGTTCCCTTCATAAAATTTGTATGCTTTGAACAGCAGTCAGAATATTTCGATGATGAGTAAGCTCCGGTATTGAAACCGTCGCTAGCTCGCCGCTTTTTTCTTATCACTTCAGTGCATTATCGTTTTCGGCGAGCTTCTCATGCATTTTGATCACTTTCTTCTTCTGTCTGCAAATGTCTCAAGCTTTCTTATTCAACTCTCGGTATTTATGCCAACACGCTCGTATTGTAGTCGATTGCTGCATTGCGAGATAGACATTTTTTTCTCTTTCCATTGAAATTCAACATTACTCATTACCCAAATAATTTCAAAGCCCAATTGGTTCTTAAGGTGCGGTATGTAGAATTTGTGAAACCTATATACCAAGTTACAGATGACTGCTCTCAGAGAGCAGAAGTGCAAGTCGAATAGAAAACCGACTGAGTACTTTTTATGATCGCAGCTCTTCTCCGCCGAACTTTTCAAATGTTTGTTGACGTGCAATCTTTGCTGAACAGAAGCGACCGCATATCTTTGTTGTGACAAATGATCCGAGTCGATGTTAGGTTCTCAGAGCGTGCGTTCACCTAGTATTCTGCACACATCTTTACAATATATCACAACATGCCTGATCACGCTTAGAAAATATTGGTTTCCTATCTTTTCATTTTCAAGCTTAAAATTCGAAATTTACACCATCGCCAGCCCAGTTATAGCCGTAGAAATTATCTACTGTTAATTGTTATTATTATTACATTGCGTACATTTTTATTATTATTATTACATTGCGTAAATTTTT